CGCCGTCGCCGGTTTACCAAGGGACGGGGGGGAACAATCCTCCTTCGTAAAAATAAAATTTGGGGGGGGGGGGGGGGCACCGGTAATTGAAGTAGCGGTCTGCCGGTTATTCCAGCAGCAGCAGGCTAGTCAAGCGCATGGGGGTAACAATGCTCCTCTAGAGTTGTAGTTGGGGGGGGGGCACCGGTAATTGAAGTAGCGATCTGCCGGTTATTGAAGCCCTCCTCCTGTGTTGCTTGGTGTGAGAGCCACCGCTAGCGGATGCTTTCCGTGTGTGTATAGTGGTCGGCCATGCAATAGTTCTTGACGCTGACAAGTAGTTGAAAGGGTAATATTAATATTTGATGAGACCCCCAGCTAGAAGCGATCCTCTAGGCGTTGCGATACTGCTGTCGCCCACATCGTTTTTTTATGGGGAAAAGGAGTCGTAGCGATTGACGATTTGGTTGTGGGCGCCAGCCACTATCGAGGGCAACCAGCAATATGTATCTCGATAGCAGTTGCCGTCGCTGAGCGGCTGGCTAGCTCGCCCATCAACTCGGCCACCACTCGCACACATGCGTGATTTCTTTCGTTTGGTACTGCTGTAACGTAGAGGGTTGCGTGGTGTAGGCCAGCAGCCGTGCCGTTATTCATTTGTCTAGCTAGAGTAGTTAGTGGTCCCTGTATTAGGCCGCCACGATGAGTTCGGTCGCCCTGTGCATGGCCGGTGAAATCGTGTGGCACGGACGGAATATCCAAGCTTGGCTTGTTGTCTGCAACCCTGATAGTACCGAGTGCTCGGCAAAAGGCCGGCCAAAGGCATTGTGTGGCCTGATATGTATGCATACAAGGGCCACAACTTGCTGTACGCCATCATCAATCGCACAAACATCGCGCAAACTGTGCGATTGATTGTATGCATGCACACCACCCCGTGTTGTCTTCACTCTCTTGTGTGGTTGATATCCATTCCTCCTGCTGGGTGACCCCCGCCTGGTGCTGCGCTGACCACATGCCGCACGGTGTAGCCTGGATGCCCAGCACAGATTCGAGTCGAAACCACACACACTTTTTTCACCAACTGCAGTCACACATAACCTCACAACATCATTGCAAGGGATCGGGCAAATGTCCGCGCGAGGCTACCCACCCGTCCCCGCATTGCCGGAACTTGAGCACGTGACGGAGAGATAGCTTTGAGCCACAAACTCGTCGTCTCCCATCTGTTCGCCCGGCTGCACGTGTGGGAGAGAGATTGAGTCCACAACCTCTTCTCCATTCTCTTCGCCCCCCCCCAGAGTGTGATCCAAAGCCAGCCGCCGCCCATCCAACGCCAGGAGCCCACGCCCGCCTCGCTCATTTGCCAACCCGAGCTGTTCAAGTGCTTTCACCGCTACACAAGCGCCAAGCCAAAACCTACAGGAGAGACATGCGTCTCGAAACAAAATCGCCGCAATGAAGGAAAACAAGGTGTCGGGTATGCACGTACGTATGCGTGCATGCGTGAAACATTCCTCCTACCCCAATAATCTGTCCATTCATCTCGCGCTCCTCCTCCTCCACCACCTCCACCACCAGCAAGGCGGGCATGGGTGAACAAGATAGCGTTCATTTTTTTTTGTTTTTTGACGGTTTGAAAAATTCGTTGGAGCACCA